ACACAGTGGTAAAAGTGTGGCTATACAAAAACTCACTTAGACAAACATTAATGACAGTATAACTTACGGCTGTGATGTTACGTCATTAATTCTTGTTTGCTGACGTTCCATCATCGGAAAAGAATTAAATCACTTATCTTCTAAAATAATTTCAGGATGGTGAAGCTAAAATAATCTCTCTGAAAAAAGAACATTCAATACAGCATATTTGTTTACATTATCATTAACTACTTAGTAAAAAATCTAAAATGGATTTAATAAAAGAATCCCTCTGTCATTCAGCAACAACAAAAGAAATATATTTCCCTCTGTTTTGACCTAAACATTAATGCAATGAGTTCTGAAGCTTACACCTGCATTTACTATATATTGTATACTAAACATTTTCCTTCTAGAATTATTAATATTATAATTATCATTATTATTGACTGATTTCTAATTTCAAAAACATGAAGCTCTAGCAGAAGTTCAATTGAAGAAACTCTGACTTACCTCCATCAATCAGAAGCCGATCCGTCTCTGAAGCGAGCCAATCAGCTTCGAACTACTCCACCACGAAGCCCAATCAGCGTCCTGCTTCCACTTTATAAACTCCCTCAAATCTCACCACAGTCGCTATCCTGCAATCGCAATGTCGGATTTCGATTCAGACGACAATTCAATTTTCCCCGCTCGGAGAAGCTCCCGTCTAGCCGCTCTCATCTCCTTCTTCCGCGTTACACTCCAAGGGTATATTGCCAGGCTCCGACCTAGACTCTGCTCAGATGCCTTAACGACCCTCCCTCTTACCTCCTCGTGATTCATCTCCCTCGCCTTCCGCTCTTCAATTGCTCCGATTCCCGGCCGCAAAAGACATGCAAGTCCTCCGCTCCCCTCGCCAGGCGCAGAAGGCCTCCCGGATCTGTCCCAGCAGCAGTCACCGCTACGCCCGCTCCTTCTCATCGTTTCAATGCAGCCTTGGACCTTCTTCAGCTTCCTGATTCATAGCAGCTCCCCCGTCTAGTCCTTCTGGCGTTTAACAGCTCTCTGCCTCCCTCCGCTCCACCGGACTCTCTCACTCAATCCTTCGACGCTGTCCGCACGCTCCAAACGTGGAAATCCCTGCACTGCCACGTCATCCCTGCCGCTGTCTGCTCAGACGGACCTCCCCCTCCCCTCATTCACATTAGGGAACGCCCGCCGGGCCAGCCTTAGGTAAGACGTATTCAACCATGTTTTCATTCATAATTTTCTATCTATTTGAGTTTGCTCTTATGCTTTGTCTGCCTCTATTCAGGCATACTTATATTAACATGCATGCTGATATTTCCACTAGCCTCGTTCTAAATTATTCAGGGGAAATATTTTAATTTAGTCTTCTTATTCTTCCCTCCCCTGAAGTTGATCAGCAGGTTGCATCAGCAGGTGACGTCACAGTTTTCCTTAAATCATCCGATCTCCGTCTACCAGAGATCTTTCTATTGGCCAATTCAGCATCTATCGCGATTACTTAGAGCTTCTGCAGGAGGCCCATCCGAATCAGTCTGTCCCCGCCGTGCACGCTTTATATATATCGTACCTCAGTCTTAGCAGCCCGTCATCTTACCACCCCTTATTATTACTTCTGATTATCGTTCTGTCTTCTTCTTCTTCTTCTTCTTCAAAAAAAAAAAAAAAATACAAAACTGATGTTCTCCATCAGTCATTTCTAAATGCCAATTGCGCTCCTTGCTAGGTCAGCTATTTGCCATGCGCTTATTTCTTAAGGCCGCTCTTTCATTCCCAGTTGCTTGATCCGGCAATTTCCATCCCTCTCCTTGGTCAGATTACTGAACGTAGGCTGCCGTTCGGATCTCCTGGTCAGACTGCTTCTAAATTGGAACGAAATTTCTTTTCTATGTCGACATTATCTATCTCCTGCCATGCTTCAAAAATTTTACGGATGCTGCATCCGTAGGTTTTGGGTGGTTCTTCAGGACAGGTGGTTCGCGGGTTCATGGCCTCTTATTCACACCCAATTATGCTTGTGTGAGGTCTACCCTTAGCTAGCTTGCCATCGTGGGGCTTTGGGAAGGAATCGCGTCCGCCCACTGCGATAACTTCGTAGTAGTTGAAGCCACTAATAAGTCACTCCTCCTCCCAGTCTCTCATGCCTTCATCAGAAGCATAACCGGAAGCAGTCACTAACGTTTCATCATCTCGGCGCGTCATGTTTCAGGCATTCAAGCACTTTCATTCGCCCAAGGGTTACCCTACGTCCACTCATGGTCCTTCACCACCTCAGGATACTCTTAGAATCATGTGGCCTTCCCTCTAGTAGGTAATCTGGGCATTCGTTCTGGACCGAGCAGCTGCATCGCAGCTACTCGCGGGGTTCTGAGGCTTCCCTCAGCTCTGGGCCGATGGTTCACCAGCTATACCTCATTCATCCGCCCAGAACTCTCACCAATTCTCGCAGCTCAGCGCTCTCTCTGCCTCTAGGTAACTCTATTACAAATACTGGTGGTGGTTCAACTCATTCTCATAATTTTCTGACCTAAACACGACCATCCTCTAACTCATTTTCTACTCGCACTCCTTATCAGTTTTCTTCATTATTCCCTGCTTCATGCAGTCTTCCATGCTGTCTCCTTGCTATATTCATGCTGTCTTCATTCTGGCTCGCATTCATGCAATCTCACCTTTATGACAGGCATTTATATGCATTCTCCTATGTGTCACATCACGTCTGGTCTGTGTCTCGTCATGCATCCTTGACACCATTTAGCATGCATTCCCTAATGCATCAATTCTTCATATATGTTATCATCCGCAAGAATCATCCGCAAGATCATTATCAGATTCATCCGCAAGATTCATTATCAGACTCATCCGCAAGATTCATTATCAGACTCATCCGCAAGATTTATTATCAGACTCATCCGCAAGATTCATTATCAGACTCATCTGCAAGATTCATTATCAGACTCATCCGCAAGATTCATTATCAGACTCATCCGCAAGATTCATTATCAGACTCATCCGCAAGATTCATTATCAGACTCATCCGCAAGATTCATTCCCTAATGCATCACATGCTCCCTATCTGTGTCTCGTCGTGTCTCGTCATGCATCCTTTACGCCATTTTGCATGCATTTTCAATGCACCAATATGCACCATGTCTGCGTCTCGTCATGTGTCTGTATCCCGTCATGTTATATGTTCTATATGGACTCATCCGCAAGATTCATTATCAGACTCATCCGCAAGATTCATTATCATCATCATGGGTAAATCATCATCATCATAATCATCATCATGGGTAAATCATCATCATGGGTAAATCATCATCATGGGTAAATCATCATCATCATGGGTAAATCATCATCATCATCATCATCATCATCAGTAAATCATCATCATCATCATCGGTAAATCATCATCATCATCGGTAAATCATCATCATCATAATCATCATCATCATCACCATGGGTAAATCATCATGGGTTCATCATCATCATCATCATGGGATCATCATCATCATGGGATCATCATCATCATGGGTTCATCACCATCATCATCATGGGTTCATCACCATCATCATCATGGGTTCATCATCATCATCATCATCATGGGTTCATCATCATCATCATCATGGGTTCATCATCATCATCATGGGTAAATCACCATCGGTAAGTTTTCGGCGTCAACAGTGGTCGCCATCCTCATCAACAACCTGGCTCGGTAAGTTGTTCGCAAACCTTCTCAGCATTTCATTACGCATTCTTTATTCTGTCCCTAGTGTATGCCCTACGAGCATACGGACTCTCCGGCCTCGACCTCGGCTTTTTGGGGGAACATCCCTATTCACATTCATCTACTCATGCATGTTAAAGCATAATTCAGCATGAATGTTCCTGCCGAGGTCTGAGTGCCAAAGACTATTCTTTCTTATCAATAAATTCTTCTAATTATCTTTTCTCTCTGTGTGAGTTATTTCAGATTGAAATGAAGCTCTAGCGGAAGTTCAATTGAAGAAACTCTGACTTACCTCCATCAATCAGAAGCCGATCCGTCTCTGAAGCGAGCCAATCAGCTTCGAACTACTCCACCACGAAGCCCAATCAGCGTCCTGCTTCCACTTTATAAACTCCCTCAAATCTCACCACAGCCGCTATCCTGCAATCGCAATGTCGGATTTCGATTCAGACGACAATTCACCCACCTCCATCCCCTTCTCCGCCATCGCAGCTGAATCATCCTCCATGACACGACTTCACCTCAACCTCATCAGAGAGTATTAATCCCAGTTGTCACCATCCCTCGTCTCATCGCATTGGTCCGGCAGAAGACCACCATGTTGAGCCCGGTTCTGCCAGAGGTTTCTTCCCAAAGGGGAGTTTTTCCTCTCCACTGTCGCTTCATGCTTGCTCATCATGGACAGTTCACGGTACCTGCATCACCGAGCAGGACCTCTATATCCCGAGTCTGAGTGAAGCCCCGGCGTCAGCTCCCTCAGTCTTCTAGTCCCACAATTCTGCCCAGCAGATCACCTTGTCAACCAGCTCGGATCAAACCACCACCAGTTTCAGGCCGGGGGGAACATCCCTATTCACATTCATCTACTCATGCATGTTAAAGCATAATTCAGCATGAATGTTCCTGCCGAGGTCTGAGCGCCAAAGACTATACTTTCTTATCAATAAATTCTTCTAATTATCTTTTCTCTCTGTGTGAGTTTTTCAGATTGAAATACCTTTGGCTAATTAATGAGGCCATTTCCTTAAAAAAACAAAATACTATGCCTACGGTATGATAAAGAATCTTATCATGAATTACTGTATTATAAAAATATATTTAAAAAAAACTCATCAATCATAAAAAAAAATGTGTAACTCTATGAACTACATTTTGCCTACCTCATAGATCAAAATTTGATTCCTCCGTCACTAATGGGTGGAGTCAATGCAAAGTGTAATGATTTCCAGCTCTATTTGTATTACTGTGACAAAGAGTGAGAGGGCAGGAATCACTCTGAAACATGATGGGCTACACATCTGGGCTGCTGTTTTACATCATCTGCTTTACAGGTGGAAAATTATGAAAAAAAAAAAAAAAGTCATATAACTGTTTTCTGACATTGACTGTGTTTATTAATTGTGTTACTTTACAGGTGTTCATTGTCAGACTCTTACCGAATCTGAATCAGTTGTTAAAAGACCAGGAGAGTCTCACCAGCTGACCTGTAGAGCCTCTGGATTCACATTCAGCAACCACTGGATGGCCTGGATCAGACAGGCTCCTGGGAAGGGACTGAAATGGATTTCTTATATCAATAATGGTGGTAGTGGGGCATGGTACCCTGATTCAGTCCGAGGTCGGTTTACCATCTCCAGAGACAACAGCAAACAGCAGCTGTATTTGCAGATGAACAGCCTGAGAACAGAAGATTCAGCTGTTTATTATTGTGCGCGAGAGACACTGTTGCTGAATTCAGTTTCGCAGCTGTACAAAAACCTCCAGTTCTTTAAAAGTAATGTAAGGGGAGCCTTTATTTTGACCGGCAGAATCCATTGTACTATGTTGTTTAAAAGTTTGGGGAAAAGAAAATGTACTATGATTAAATTATGGGTTGCGAGAAAAATAAATTTGCCAAATTCTTTTTTATTTTAAATGTCTTTGATTTTCATTTGAACTTCTGTAAATAAAATATTTTGACAAAAAACAAACTTCCTATATAGATTTAATTATAATTATATTAAATTATACTTATTTATTGGAAAATATATGTTACTTTGTTTATATGACGGGGTTTACAAAATCTACGAAACACTTTTTGATCTGAATCATGATTGTTATTAATTTTTGAACTTGTTTAAAACAAACTTCTACTGCAAAATTTTTATTAGGATCAATGTGTTTGAAAGAGTTGATAATGATCTAAAGTATTACCATAAATTACTTAGTGAAACCTCTTATGACCCTATGTCTCAGTTAGAAAATATAGTTTTAAAAGTCCAATCCAATCAAATCCAGCCTTATCTGTGAAGCATTTAAAATTTTCCCAGGTATCAAATTGCTGTACTGCGAGCAACAGGGTAAAGATTAGGGAAAAAAGATATAAAAAAGTAGAGTAAAAAATAACAAAATTGTGTATTTAAAAACAAGCAATCTGGCAGGCTAAAATCAAATTTCCTCAATGGAAAGTGATGCCGCATCATAAAAAAGTGATGGATTACTGTTTTTAAATGTTTGGGTTATTTTTTTTAGAAAAAAAGGGGGTTTATTTTTGCCAGTTAGCTTCACTCAGAAAATCTAGGCTAATCTGGCTGTGAAATTTAAGCTTGGCATTTACTTTAACATACTTAAGGCTCCAAAAGTGAAACTACTGCAGAAACTGTGAAAGAAAAAAACTAGTGATAAAAAGCAGCAAAATAAATCTTTTAATCTTGTGTTTCATTAGATTTCACGGTTTAGAAGTATAACTGTAGTTTGTTGTTCTGAATTTTACCCTGTTTGAATCTGAACACCGACAGAACACCCGAAACATATTATTACTCTGGTTTAATTATTTTGGTTCAGGTTAATCTGTGTTTAAGTAAATTTAGTGTTTTATTTAGACTTAGACTTAAACAACTTTTGATTGTCATTTTGTAAACACAGAGTGCAAACAAAACGAAATTTTGTTTTCTACAGCTTTCAGACATCAAATGAACATCAGCTTAGCAGTAAGATGAATGTTTCCATTCCATAAAGCTCAGCAATGATCAAATGCAAACAGTGTGGGAGAAAAAAAAAAAAAACATGGTGCAAAAACACATTGATATGAAAGTTCAGAGCATTTCAAGACAAATACATATGGCCAAAATATGCATTATTTTTGTTTGGTATTATCAGTTCGATGCAGAGTCTGTGACTTGATTTAGAATTTTCAACAGTTCAGTAGTCTGATGGCGGTGGGGAAGAAGCTGTTGTGGAATCTGCTGGACCTGCATTTAATACTTCGAAGTCTCTTCCCAGGGGGCAGCGGGAGGAACAGTCCATAGTGGGGTTGTGAGGGGTAATTCATGATGTTACAGGCTTGGGACACGCAGCGCTGGGATGAAATGTTTCTAATGGAGGGAAGAGAAGCCCCTATGTTGTTCTGTGCTGTTCTCACTACTCTCCTCACTTTCTTCCAGTCTGAGGCACTGCAGCCTCCACACCACACAGTGAGACAGCTGGTCAGAACGCTCTCTATGGTGCTTCTGTAGAAGGTGGTGAGGATGGGTGGGGGCAGGTGGGGTCTCCTGATCCTCCGCAAGAATTACATTGCTTCTGTGCCCATTTGACCAGTGAGGTGTCGTTTACATTCCAGGTGAGGGTGTCTGTGATGTGCACCCCCAGGAATTTGGTGCTCATCACCACCTCTACAGCTGAGCTGTTGATGACCAGTGGAGCGTGGTTAGGCCGGTTTGTCCTGAAGAAGAACCAGCATTTATTATGATTTCTCTAATTTCTTATGTATATTCTCATGTATTTGTGACAAGGCAAGGGCCAACTCTTGGTGATTTTCAGGGTGGTGGCTCTTTATTGGATTTGTGGTGCATTATTTCTGTTATTTGCTTTGCATTCTTTTGTTTATGGTATATGGTCACAGGGCTAAGCTTTTGAACTGTTCACCATTAGTGTACAGCAAGTGATGTAAGGGAAGTTATATTGTGATTGAATGTTGTAAATGAAATGGATGGAAGTGCCTCCTACTTAAGATTGATTCTGTGTGAAACATTAATGTGGGGTTGTTGCAATAATTTGTATCTATATTAAATTAATAGTTAATAAATAAGTAGGTACTAAGTTCTAATTGCACATTGCCACATCAGACTAATCCTGCCACATTAATACTTTACTCAAAGTAAAAAAAAAAAAAAACAGTAAAATATGAATAAAATACAATTTTAAGTATAACAACAAATATAAAATATGAACTCAAAGCAAAAAGGTCTGATGGAAAAAATTGTTTTTCTTTTTTTTTTTTTTACTCCCAGACAGCCAGCAGAATGAAGATGCAAGGGAAAACAGTTCTACTGTTTAGGATCCTCAGAATAAAGGGTTTTTCTCCCTCCTCCCAAGACCTTAGATGAGCAGGAATCAAGAGACTCTGGTCTTTGTGACTGATGCTAGGAGCAGCAGAGTGTTTCTAGTAGACTAAAGTATATCGGGATTGTGGTCATTTGGAGCCACGTAGGAAAAAAAAAGTTCTTTAAATAGCACACTTCTTTAAACCTGAAATCATTATTGCAGCTTATTATACAGTCGCTTCTGCCATACTGTTTGTTAAAAGTGAAATAAAAGAAGAGAAACTCCTGGCAGCTCCTGAGTAAAGAGCATTTGCATTATTACTAACCCACCAGAGGAGGTGCTCTTAAACCATAAATGATATTGACTAAAAGAGTTTTTTCATAGATCCAAATTTAAAACTAAAAATCTTTTTGAAGTATATTACAGTACATGCTCAACCTTCTCTGTAGAAGATTAGAATTTTTTAAAGCCCAAAATATATTTTACTTGGTTAATTTGGCAGGGTTTAAAAAATTTACAAAATACTTTTTGATCATAACCATGTTTGTTAGTCCTTTTAAAAACAAACTTGAAAAATGTCATTAAGATCTTTGCATTTGGAAGAGTTGATAATAATCTAAAAGAAGTTCTTTACCTGTAAAGAACTTAAAATTTTCCTGAGGATCAAAGTGCTTACAGTGAACAACAGGGTTGAAATTAGCTTAAAAGTAAATAGAGCAATAGAAGCATTACACACAAATAAAAGAAAAGTGTGTTAAAAAAAAAAGAAAAAAGCAACCTAGCAGGCTAAAATAAACCTCACACATACTATCAAAGGCCAGGTCAGAGATGAGTAGCGATTTAAAATCTGAAAGAGCCTCCTACATGGAAATTCATTACAAATCAAAAAAGTAATGGTTTACCTTTTTAAATGTTCAGGTTTATTTTTTTAGAGAAAAACAAAGGCTTTTATTTTTGTCAGTTAGGTTCACTCAAAAAATATATACTAGCTTGGCTATCAAATTTAACTTCGCAACTACTTTAACACCAAAGGTTTATGGTGTTTTACTCCTTGTATTGAGCTATATGTTAAAAAACATAAAATCTAGGTCAGAGTCTCAGGTATGCTACCAAAAACATAACCTTAGTTTCTCCAATTAAACTTCAAGACAGGGCAGGATGTTTTCTTTATATAAATAGAATTCCACACTCCTTATATTACATTTTTAAGTTAAACTCAAAGAAAAAACACTTTTGGTTGAAATTGCAAACATTTTCCTCTAACCATCTAAGGTAGGAGGTAATGTTTCCAAATGCACTGGATGCCTTTCAAATTTGGCACTTTTGAAAAAGAAGCAATAAAAATGTGCATTTTCTATAGCTTTGTTTCTATAATGAATGCAGGTCTGCTTCACATAAACATGAACAACTACTAAACAATTACTTTCCAGCAAGTTAATAGATTAAATATAATGATTTAAAGGGCACCAGGGCTGCAACCAGTCTGGACTAGTGGATTTTGAGGTGACTCCTTTTAAAATACTGTATGGATCTGTTCTTAATGCTCTATTTTGAAGTTTTGTGCTTGTTATGAAAAAAATCTAATGCAAATAATTATAGTTCATACATTCAAAAAGAGAAGAAATCCTTACACTGCATGAATTTGACAGAGTATGTTTCAGTTGTTCCTCCCTTTCAGGAGGAGTTAATGCAAAACCTTAGTGACTTAAAGTCTTATTTTTGCAACGGCTATCAGAGAGCAAGAAGCAAATCTGAACATCATGGACTTCAGATCAGGACTGCTTCTTTCTATTGTCTTTTTTATAGGTGAGAAAATGTTTGTTTCAGTGAAACCTTCTCCAACAAGAGCCACAATTAATGACTTCTTTTCTCACAGGTGTTGATGGTCAGACTCTGACAGAATCTGAATCAGTGGGTAAAAGACTTGGGGACTCCCACCGTCTGACCTGTACAACCAATGGATTATCATTCAGCAGCTCCTGGATGCACTGGATCAGACAGGCTCCTGGGAAAGGACTGGAGTGGGTCTCTTGTATCACAGCTGACAGTACCAAATTTTATTCTCTCTCAGTCCAGGGTAGGTTTACAATCTCCAGAGACAACAGCAAACAGCAGCTGTATCTGCAGATGAACAGCCTGAACACGGACGATTCTGCTGTTTATTATTGTGTTCATGATGCACAGTGAAGGAAGCTGGTTTAGCAGCTGTACAAAAACCACAATAGCCTTATCTGGAGGCAGTTTTTGAAATGTGAGAATATTATCCGGTATAAAACAGGAACTATGTTCCAATGACGTCACACACACTGTAAAAAAAATATTATTCCACTATTTTCTTTTCTCATTGTCCCTAATTAATTTTCCTACAGCCTGGAGGATGGGGCTCATGTCATCATTATTTGGTTTTTAGGCTTTGCTATCCATGTGATGGACTTCTTCATACACGTGATGAAGTGTTGCTCAGTGTATGGATTATATTTCCAAAGGTTGCTTGAGGAAAATATAATCTAAAAACTCCCAGTGGGTCTAGCGATTCATTTAGATTACCCCCTGCATTTTGCTTTGGCCCCTCCATCTGCTCCATGGAGACTCATATTTACATAAAACCTTTGATAATGTTTCACCAAGTTAATCTTGGCTTTGTTGGTTTAGCCTGTGTCAGATGCATTCTGTTTTTAGCTTTATTTGGGTTGACCTTTTTTCTAAATTCTGAACAGCATGTTTTTCTGGGATATCCGGGTGGGTTGTAGATGTGGAATAAGATAACCCAGGAAGATTCCTGGTTCCTGGTAGCTTCAATGGGCTTTAGGTTGATTGTCTTTTTCATTCTGAACACCTTTGCAGTAACTCTGTCTATTATTTGCAACAAAGTATGTGATGGTTCTATGGATAGGGAATCGTATGACAGCTTCCAGGCTGCATAATTTCTTTCAAGGACTAAATAAGCTAAAGCAGCGTTTGACCTGACTCTGTGAAAGAACAGAAGCTACTTCATACTTACAGTATGGCACAATTTGATATAGGGTTTATTTGGAATCCATTAGCTGGGTGATAAAAAAACTAAATACGTTTCTGCTTTTTCCATTAGATATTATAGGAAAAATATCAACTATGAGTCGAAGTTTAATGGGAGCATTTGAATTAGTTAATTGGAAGAGGGGCACAGACAGCATTAATATAGTTAGGTCTCCTTTAATTAGAATTTCAAAATCGGTGTGTACACAAGAAGTTAAATATGAGATTCCCAAAAACTAGACATCCTACAACATCTTTCTGTGTCCTGCTTCATATTGATACGTTCTTGTGTATTTGTTAACATAAATTCAATACTTTAACAAGATTAAATCATTCCTGTACTGATGTCATAATAGTCAAACTGCTTGGGTTTGGTGTTATGTTGTGATAATAATATTATTATAAACATGTTTGTTTTTCTAAAGATATTACAAATAAAAAGACATTTTAATACTTGTCTCCTTGCATTAGGCTTAATAAACGATTTGCAAAAGCAACTAATTTCCACTGTCTCCTCCTCCTTGGGCTGTATGTAGATGATGTGGTTTCCTGGTCATATGTAAACACATTCTAGAAGAGTATCAGATATCATCCCTACCAGACCTCCAACCATGTTGTCTCTGAGTCTGGTGCTGTTTTCAATAGCTGTATCATGTAGGTATTTTTGCATTGGCCACATTCAAAAGTCATTTGTTGTTTTTCTCTGTTCAGTTTTTATGCAGTAAGTCCTTCTTTTTCAGGTGTAACATGTGAACAGCTAAACCAGCCAGCCTCTGTGACTGTGAAGCCTGGTGAAGGTTTGACCATCACCTGTCAGGTGTCTTATTCAGTCAGCAGCTCCTGGACACACTGGATCAGACAGGCGGCAGGGAAAGGACTGGAGTGGATCAGCAGAGACACAGATGTCAAAAGTTCATTAAAAAACAAGTTTACTGTCAACTTTGACATTGCAGTGCTGAAGAAATTGAGATTTAAAAAATGAAAGGTATTTCAATACAAATGTATCCACACATCCATCTTCTCCAGCTATATCCTTCAGCGTCGCGGTTAGGCCAGTGCCTATCTACTGCGGTCTATGGGAGAGAGGCAGGGAAAGCAGGGACAGTTTACCAGTCTGTTGCAGAAAAACGCAAAAACACAGGTAGACATACAGTGGGGCAAAAAAGTATTTAGTCAGCCACCAATAGTGCAAGTTCTCCCACTTAAAAAGATGAGAGAGGCCGGTAGTTTTCATCATAGATATACCTCAACTATGAGAGACAAAATGAGAAAAAAAAATCCAGAAAATCACATTGTCTGATTTTTAAAGAATTTATTTGCAAAATATGGTGGAAAATAAGTATTTGGTCAATAACAAACAAGCAAGATTTCTGGCTCTCACAGACCTGTAACTTCTTCTGTAAGAGGCTCCTCTGTCCTCCACTCGTTACCTTCATTAATGGCACCTGTTTGAACCCGTTATCAGTATAAAAGACACCTGTCCACAGCCTCAAACAGTCACACTCTAAACTCCACCATGGCCAAAACTAGAGAGCTGTCAAAGGACGCCCGAAACAAAATTATAGACCTGCACCAGGCTGGGAAGTCTGAATCTGCAATAGGTAAACAGCTTGGTGTGAAGAAATCAACTGTGGGATCAATTATTAGAAAATGGAAAACATACAAGACCACTGATAATCTTCCTCGATCTGGGGCTCCACGCAAGATCTCACCCCGTGGGGTCAAAATGATCACAAGAAGGGTGAGTAAAAATCCCAGAACCACACGGGGGGACCTAGTGAATGACCTGCAGAGAGCTGGGACCAAAGTAACAAAGGCTACCATCAGTAACACACTACGCCGCCAGGGACTCAGATCCTGCAGTGCCAGATGTGTCCCCCTGCTTAAGCCAGTACATGTCAAGGCCCGTCTCAAGTGTGCTAGAGAGCATTTGGATGATCCAGACGATGACTGGGAGAATATCATATGGTCAGATGAAACCAAAATGGAACTTTTTGGTAAAAACTCTACTCGTGTTTGGAGGAGAGAGAATGCTGAGTTGCATCCAAAGAACACCATACCTACAGTGAAGCATGGGGGTGGAAACATCATGCTTTGGGGCTGTTTTTCTGCTAAGGGACCAGGACGACTGATCCGTGTGAAGGAAAGAATGAATGGGGCCATGTATCGTCAAATTTTGAGTGAAAACCTCCTTCCATCAGCAAGGGCATTGAAGATGAAACGTGGCTGGGTCTTTCAGCATGACAATGATCCCAAACACACCGCCCGGGTAACGAAGGAGTGGCTTCGTAAGAAGCATTTCAAGGTCCTGGAGTGGCCTAGCCAGTCTCCAGATCTTAACCCCATAGAAAATCTTTGGAGGGAGTTGAAAGTCCGTGTTGCCCAGCGACAGCCCCAGAACATCACTGCTCTAGAGGAGATCTGCATGGAGGAATGGGCCAAAATACCAGCAACAGTGTGTAAAAACCTTGTGAAGACTTACAGAAAACGTTTGATCTCTGTCATTGCCAACAAAGGGTATATAATAAAGTATTGAGATGAACTTTTGTTATTGACCAAATACTTATTTTCCACCATATTTTGCAAATAAATTCTTTAAAAATCAGACAATGTGATTTTCTGAATTTTTTTTTCTCATTTTGTCTCTCATAGTTGAGGTATATCTATGATGAAAATAACCGGCCTCTCTCATCTTTTTGAGTGAGAGAACTTGCACTATTGGTGGCTGACTAAATACTTTTTTGCCCCACTGTACAACCTTGCAAACGCACTCACACCTAAGGACAATTCAGAGTAGCCAATTAACCTAACAGTTATGTTTTTGAACTGTGGGAGGAAACTGGAGTACCAGAAGAGAACCCACACATGCATAGGGAGAACATGCAAACTCCATGCAGAAAGGTCCTAGGAATCCGACCCAGAACATTAGAGCAACTAAGACAACATTGCTTTTAATGTTAATATTATCTTTAAGTTATGTTTAGTTAGTTATGTTAAGCTTATCAATCAATAGTTAATCTCTTTTCAGCTTTTTACTAGTAAAAAAAAAAGTTTTTTGATATTTGCATTATTTCTTGGAAACTGTAAGACCTTCTGCCCATACATATAGTAACACCATATTAATCTTTTTATTTGCTGGTATAAATTAATCGTATATTTAACTTTTTTCGTTTTATAGAATGAAAAAAAAACAACTAAATTACTAATCATTTTAGAGCAGTGAGTTGTAGAATTACCTTATTAGATAGGAAACTGTTAATAGCTCCAATAATGCAAATTCTGAAGAGAAAACCCCAAAATATAAAGACAACTACAACAAAAGAAAAAAATTACTTGGTATCTTTCCAAACTCTACAATAAGTTGAATCCCAGCAGTGCAGACTATCATCTAGAGATATATATTTGACTTCAGATAGGCTGAGACTGTTTAACAGAACAGGGATGCTGCCCTATCTATCTGCTTTACAGGTCAAATAGCGGTTAAACAAGTTCTAAATATAAATCTTTTTGCACCACTTAGACATAGACATTTAAAGGCTTTAAATACAGAAAAAGTTTTGTAACCACTTTTCTTCTTCTTGCAGGTGTTGATGTTCAGATTTTCATTTTTCATTTTTTAGAAAGTTTTTTTTTCTTCAAACTATTAGATAAACTATAATGATGGTTTTAACTGTGTTCCTCTTGCCGTTTCATCCCTGATTTGATGTCGTCCTCCTTTAAGCCTCGCTTTGATTTATTGATTAGAAGAAAAGACTGCTCCTTTTATCATTCTATAAAATACATTTATCAACCAAATACAACAAATGAGAGATGTGATTGATTTACAATTCCTTTTTTTTAACTCAAATATGGCTTCTAAGAACCATGTCTATATGCAAATAGTTTTTAATAAGTCTTTTTATTTTGATCCCTGTAATTTGCTGGTCAGCTAATTTTGTTAATTGTTCTTTGTTGTTGTATTATCATTGTAATTATGAACACTTCAGTATGTAGATTAAATAAACAGATATAAATAAAATGGATTCATTTAATGCAGTCTGATTGTGATATTAATCTTCTAATGCTCCTTAATTCTCAAGTGTAACTTTATTTCACTCCCTCTCAGGCAGGAGGAGTCAATGCAAAACAATAGTAACATGCAGCCATAATTATGCTCCTTCTTCTGTTGTCACAGAACAAGAAGCATATTGGACCATGATGGACTTCAGATCAGCACTGCTTGCTTTAATCATCTGCTTTTTGGGTGAGAAAATACTTACAGAACTAAATCTAATCCTCATGAAAACAATCACCTAATATAAACTAAACATTCTGACTCTGTTGCTTTAGGTGCTGATGGTCAGACTCTGGTAGAATCTGAACCAGCGCTAAAAAGACCAGGAGACTCCCACAAACTGAGCTGTACAGCCTCTGGATTCACATTCAGCAGCAATATAATGTCCTGGATCAGGCAGGCTCCTGGAAAAGGACTGGAATGGATCGCATTTATAAGCACAGCCAGTTCTCCAATATATTACTCTCAGTCAGTCCAAGGAAGATTCATCATCTCTAGAGATGACTCCAGTAGTAAAATTCATCTGCAAATGAACCAGCTGAAAACTGAGGACACAGCTGTGTATTACTGTGCTCGAAGGGCACAGTGATAGAAAGAAGCAGAAGCCTCATACAAAAACTTCCTCTATTTGCCATTTCCTCTAGAAATCTTCAGCTAACTTGATACGGGTAATATTTTAGATAAAGACTACAGTGGCAAAACTCACTGAAAAAAAAATACCGTCAAACAATAAAATTAGATTTGAAATGACTTTGGAGAAAAACGTTTTACTTATTTCATGTCATAAATTATGAAAATAAAAGTTAATGTCATTATGAATTACAGAAAGACTGAGAATTAATTATCTAGAAAAGCTTCATGCAGGAAATAATAATATTTAGTTTACAACTGCAGTAACAGAAATATCTCAAATTTAATAGAAAAGAACTGGTTCATTCGAAGTAGATCTACTATTACAACTGAATCATCTCTGACTATAGCATGTGCAAAACAAGTGAACAAAATTACAATAGAACATGATCTGTATGACCAATTAAAGTGGAGGAAGGGATTTAATTTGAAATTTGTTTTCTAATATACATAAGGGTTCTTTATCTCATCTAAACATCTGTGTTTTAGTTAAGATCTACCATGATTATTTAAAAGACTGACCCCGTCTTGTAAATAAGTCACAAAAAAATTAAGTCTTCATACATTTCAATGAATGTAGAACATTATGAAGGAAGACAGCAATTTAATTAGCTAATAATATCTACTGTGTAAAATCAAACTATCAAATATGCAAATCTTATAATTCTGAATAAATAGAAAATGAAGGCTAACCATTAAAAGAGTAACACTCAGAACATCAGCATGACCTGTTGCTCTCTTTGACAGAAGCCTGTGGTTTGGCTTTCTTATTATTACTAACAGTTTTTGATCATTATTAGATTGATTTGAATAAAGTAGAAATCAACATTTGAAAGATACACTATATTGCCAAAAGTATTTGCTCACCCATCCAAATTATTGGAATCAGGTGTTCCAATCACTTCCATGGCCACAGGTGTATAAATTCAAGCACCTAGGCATGCAGACTGTTTTTACAAACATTTGTGAAAGAATGGGTCGCTCTCAGGAGCTCAGTGAATTCCAGCGTGGAACTGTGATAGGATGCCACCCGTGCAACAAATCCAGTCGTGAAATTTCCTCGCTCCTAAATATTCCACAGTCAACTGTCAGCTGTATTATAAGAAAATGGAAGTGTTTGGGAACGACAGCAACTCAGCCACGAAGTGGTAGGCCACGTAAACTGACGGAGCGGGGTCAGCGGATGCTGACGCGCATAGTGCGAAGAGGTCGCCAACTTTCTGCAGAGTCAATCACTACAGACCTCCAAACTTCATGTGGCCTTCAGATTAGCTCAAGAACAGTGCGCAGAGAGCTTCATGGAATGGGTTTCCATGGTCGAGCAGCTGCATCCAAGCCATACATCACCAAGTGCAATGCAAAGCGTCGGATGCGGTGGTGTAAAGCACGCCGCCACTGGACTCTAGAGCAGTGGAGACGCGTTCTCTGGAGTGACGAATCGCGCTTCTCCATCTGGCAATCTGATGGACGGGTCTGGGTTTGGCGGTTGCCAGGAGAACGGTACTTGTCTGACTGCATTGTGCCAAGTGTAAAGTTTGGTGGAGGGGGGATTATGGTGTGGGGTTGTTTTTCAGGAGCTGGGCTTGGCCCCTTAGTTCCAGTGAAAGGAACTCTGAATGCTTCAGCATACCAAGACATTTTGGACAATTCCATGCTCCCAACTTTGTGGGAACAGTTTGGAGCTGGCCCCTTCCTCTTCCAACATGACTGTGCACCAGTGCACAAAGCAAGGTCCATAAAGACATGGATGACAGAGTCTGGTGTGGATGAACTTGACTGGCCTGCACAGAGTCCTGACCTCAACCCGATAGAACACCTTTGGGATGAATTAGAGCGGAGACTGAGAGCCAGGCCTTCTCGTCCAACATCAGTGTGCGACCTCACAAATGCGCTTCTGGAAGAATGGTCAAAAATTCCCATAAACACACTCCTAAACCTTGTGGACAGCCTTCCCAGAAGAGTTGAAGCTGTTCTAGCTGCAAAGGGTGGACCGACGTCATATTGAACCCTATGGATTAGGAACGGGATGTCACTTAAGCTCATATGTGAGTCAAGGCAGGTGAGCAAATACTTTTGGCAATATAGTGTAACATGTATATTCTTTTTTAATGTTTGAACAGAAGTTTAAGACAAGTTTAAGAACAGCTACATCTGTATGAGAACTACAATGACTAAGAAGAGACTATAATGGTGCCTTTGAAAAGTACGTTGTGTTTTTGCTTTATTTGTGGATCTTTTAAAAGCATTTGACTCAGGAGATACTGAATTACTTCTAGAAAACTTAAGAATATCAGTTTTAATATTTTGCCTCTAAAATGCTTGAAGATGAAATTGGCCTTTTGAGATTTAATCTACTTTCATTTTATTATACTGTACATGTCTACAGCCTCCTCCTCTTCAAAGATCTTAGTCTCTCTTTATTATGTCCTTTATTTTTCAGTTTATAGCCAAAGTATCTGACTATCCACTGTGCTCAACATGATTAAACCATGGATATATATTCATCTTTAAAGCTGTTAGCTAAACTCCAAGCATACGTTAGTAAAGTTTTTGTTGATTCTAATTACTATTTCCATTCAGCCCAAATGGTTGCTTTTAAAACTTTTCTGTTTAAATAGATTTTTAGCTTTTCTTCCCATTAATTAACCATGGTCTTCAAAATATCTTACTGTATAAGAACTTGCATGTAAAAAAATAAATAAATAAAATGGTTTATTAGCTTTAAAAAAAATAACTCAGTGTTGGGAGCTGGAGAAGTACCACCTTCCTCCAGCAGAGTCCGCCGTGGATCCTCCTGAGCCGAGCCTTCAACGCACCTGTGGCTCGTTCCATCATCAGAGGATCCACACTATAAAAGCTGTCTTCAGACCTTGCCTCGACGCCGCAGTGTTGAATCGAGTTGGTTAGCACCTGAGCCGAAGAACCTTCTGAGAAATCTTTATTGCTCTTTGAGTCTTGCTATGATTCTAATCCTTTGTGTCTCTGTTTCCAGGAAACCAGTTTTTCTCTGTAAGCTCTGGATGAGCTTAGACTGCCGAGCCTGCCCTCTGAGCCAAACCCGAAGACTCTTCTCTGGATTTCCCATGCAGCTCTGGATTAAGAGCTGGAAACCAAATGCCAAGGTCTGCACCCTCATCAGAAGTAAGACGCTGAAGCAGTTATTGGACTCTGTTGAAACAAACCTTCTCTGGACCCAACATCTCCTCTCTCTGAGTTCTAACCGGAACCCTCAAGGTATAAATCTGAACATCACAAAACCAAATCCCATAGCTCCCAAAGCTAACTGCTCTGTTATCTACACAGACTCCAGTGAACCAGTCCCCAGGCCTGAACCAGTTCCAGTCATAATTCCATGTGCTTGTGAACAATAAACATTGTTAAACTTTTACTATTGTTTCCGTCTCCGTGGTGTTCTGCATAACTGGGTCTCATCAGTGAACCCATCATGACAGAACACTGCGGCCAAACACAAGGCCCAGCAGACCACCTCCATCGTCTATTGGAGGAGCGGGAGGCTCAAATCCATGGACATGTTCAAGCTCTCAGTGAATTAAACACCCACATTGAGTTACAAAACCATGTAGTCCAAAACTATGCTAACCGCTTGAACAGAGCTAACACCACGCCAGTTGAACAACCATTTCCGGGTCCTGTTCCGCCTCCGAGGTCACCGGCAGTGACGTCATCACCAGAGTTCCGCCCAAGACTCCCCGAAAAGTTTTCTGGTAATATGAAGGACTGCAAGGGATTTTTGTTTCAATGCCGTTTAATTTTTCTAAACTCTCCTGGCAGTTTTCCCACAGATCATGTTAAAATAACCTTTATTTTGTCTCTATTGACCGGAAGAGCCCTGGAATGGGCTCAGGCAAGGTTTGCCTCTGACGAGGGCCTCAATTGTCAATACACCGATTTTATCTCTGAATTTTCTCAAGTATTCAACCAAGAAACAGATCAAACGATTGACTTTTGTGCTCTTTTTGACCTTAAACAGGGAAGTTCTTCAGTGGCGGAGTTTTCCATTAACTTCCGGGTAAAAGCTGAGGCTTCCGGTTGGAACCAAAGTGGTTTAAAGGGGGCTTTTTTCATGGCTTTGAACGAAAACATAAAGGATAAACTCGCAACCCTCGACGAACCTGCAACACTTGAGGAATTGATCCGCCTAACAATTAAGCTGGATAACAGAATCCGAGCTAGAAATAACTCTAAGCCTAGGATTCAGGGTTCTTTTACCTCTGCCCCTGCTTCAAATAATGTGACTGTTTTTTCTGCTCCCACAGAAACCGAACCCATGCAAGTCGGACATACTAGGCTGACTCCTGAGGAAAGACAAAGATGTTTTTTAAGCAAACTGTGTATCTACTGTGGTGAGAGTGGTCATTTCATCGCTTCATGCCCTGCTAAATCAAAAGACAGGGCCCGTCAGAGGTTCCGAGGAGTCTGACGGGCCATGTTAACACTGAAAAATCTCCACGCCTGATGCTTCCTGCCACTTTATTTTTCTCAGACCAGAACCTCTCTTTTTCTGCCTTCATCGATTCAGGCTGTGAACGGAACTTAATTGACTCTAATCTTGTCCAGCAGCTTCAAATTGAAACCGTTCCTCTAAACCAGCCTCTTTGTGTCTCTGCTATTGATGGGAAGAAACTCCACCAGGTCACCCATCAAACCCAGCCTCTCAAGCTACTTATCTCAGGTAATCATCGTGAAACCATAACATTTTTTGTTTTTCCTTCCGCATGTTCCCCTCTGGTGCTTGGCTTTGAAAGGTTGGAGAAACATAATCCCCATATTAACTGGACTGATCGTCATGTGGAATCCTGGTCTACCCTTTGTCATGAAACATGCCTCCGTTCAGCAGCTCCCGCTGTGGGGTCCCCTAGAGGTGGGGGGGAGATGGACTCTCCTGACCTTACTTCTGTCCCTTCCGAGTACCGTGATTTGGCTCCTGTCTTCAGTAAG